TTCCTGTTCCTACCCCGGCAGCCGCTGCCCCGCCCGCTCCCCCTGCCCCTGCCGCCGCCGCCGCTCCTCTCAGCCCCAGGAAAGTCGGCCGCGAGGTAACTACTGTCCTAATATAGAGCCAGGGGGACTGGCACGTGCTTGTCTGCCGGCCAATGGGGGCCTCGGGAGAGGCAAGCCTTGGCGCGCGACCTGGGATGCAGCCGGCCCGGTTTGGTCTTCAGCAGTTCCAACTTTGGCAAAGGGAAGGGTGGGGGCGGGCCTTAGGCAGATACCAAGTGGAACCTGCCCGTCCCATCTGGAACCCGGAGGCGGATGGGAAGCGAGCGAGAGAAAAGACCCTGACATAATGGTAAGTTAGAGACTCCGAAAGCAAAGCCCACTTTCCCCTTGCATATCAGATAGAGAGGGCTTACATTAAGAAAAACAAGTGTTTACGTCTTACAGTTTGCGAATGTCCAGTAGCCGAAACACCCCGCTTCTAGGCGGAGGAGGAGAGCGTCCAGTCACTGGTGCAGATAATGCTTCTCTGGCCAAGCTCACCAGATCCTCCCTAAAGATCAACGGGGACTTTGCCTGATAGGGTCCGGGCTGAGGAAGCTTGGTACCAGTAGTGGCCCAGTGAAGGCAGGGGCTGGAAAGCGAGGAGGAAGTCATTTCCATTAATCATCCTCTCTCCTCCTCCAGTTTGGAAATCTGTCGCTATCAAGACTGTAAGCTGCAAAATACCTGGGAATTAGTCTTGTGTTGAGTTTGTGCAGGGTGGATAGAGGTAGGCGGAAATGTCACCTCTTTTAAGGTAATTTTCATGGAACTCTACAGAAGTAACTTCCCTTTTGAGGAGAGATGAGCAGACAGAACATTTTCTTAGCTGTGCAAGTAGTCACTGTCTCTCAATGCTGGGGATTTGGCAAGAACTTTGTTTGTTTGTTGTATTGTGAGGCTGCAATTCTGGGTAGAGTTCAGTGAATGATTTACAGGGAGTATTTAACACTGCACTGGATTGGATAATAAAGCACTTTGCTGCCCTGGTAAGTGCTAAGATATTATTTCTGGTCTTTTAAAAAATGTATCTGATTTTTAACCAGTTCTTGTTCCTAATCAAGATATTACTTTCCTGCTTTGTTTTCAATATAATAAATCTCACAACACCTCACAGTTACCCAAGATCTGTCACTCTTTTTGTGAGCTACTGCATGAGACTATAACACAGTCCAAGGCACACTGACATTTTGATGAAAACTATACTTTTCCCCCATGTGACATTCCAAACCTAAATTGAAAGTTCTAACCTCCCCTCCCAAAGGGATGGATTCTATGGGCTGAAACATGATGGAAATTAAGGCTCTTTGTGTAATCCTGGCAATGGAGAGGCATTTCTACCCTGGACTTTCCCTAACTTTGAGCATAAAGAGAAAAATGCCAAGCAGCAGTTTGAGTATGATGAAAAGGCAGCAAGTTTGTTAATTTTGTAGTATTGACGTGGATCCAGATTATCATACTTCCAGTAAACTCATTGAAATAAATACTTACCTCTCATTCATCTTAATGGTTACTGTTTACTCAAAGTATAACTAAGTCTGAGTCCAATCATTCCTTTCGTCAAGAGAGGAGAGGTGCTTATGGGGTTTTCTGCCTTAGAATTAGAATCTCTTGACTAGCTTTGTATCTTTACTATGGCTCTCTACTTTAGACAGTATAATATCTTGAACTGCCCCTAATTGTAGTACTGAAAGAAAGGGCTGCCTTTTTCTTAAATTTAGATCCTCAGCATCGTTAGGAAGAAGCTGCACAATTTGCTTTCAGTAGAATTTATTCACAACTGCACCAAAGGATGAGTCCCTGCAATATTTTAGTTTTGTCTTTGTGATCTAAGAAGCATTTCATCTCTTGCTCCATGTGGGCTTTCTCTGATCTGGACTAAAAAGCATCCGGAAGCCAATACAGATCAGGATGGTATCAACAATGCATGCTACTATACTGAGTAGTAGCTATTAATGGTCCTTGGCCAGCTTGTAAGTGCTCTGTGAGTCCTCCTTGCCAGTGAATGTGAAGCCTCATGATGATAATGGGTTTCGTTGTTTCCCTTGGTAATAATAATAACAGTCTTGTTGCTTAATGACTGCTTTCAGTTGGCATAGTAGAAAAAAAAGGAGGAAGGCACACAAGGGGTACTATTTTTTTTTTTAACTGAAGTCTCAGATGGCTCAAATATCTGTCTCCTTCATCACTTTTGGGGGAATATATTTTCCTTTAAAAGCAGAAAAAATTCCCAAGTTGGCATATTAAGTCATAACCCTTCTAAAGTAATTCCCAAGTGACCATCTGAAGAGTTGAACTTGTAGACAACAAAATACATTCCAAAACATAGTCCTGATCTTTAAAAGCTCACTTTGGGGATTTGTTCAAATCCAGGTGTGTCTGCAAGAATAATTTGTGTTTAAAATCATCAGCCATTAATTTTAGCAAATTAACAGTCACAGCTCAAACTGGGTTGAAAATAATTCCCTGTGTCCTGTTTTTCAATAATAAGGGTAACATACACCAAAAATGCTCAAAGGCTCTTTGTTATTATTTTGCACATGTCAGGTGTAGGATTATGAAATGCAGAGTTTCACTGTTAAATTCTTGAGAACTGTTTCAAAACTGCTACTTTATGAATAATTCCTTGAAACAACCCTGTTGAATTCAGCAGGACTTTTGTGGGGTAAATATAGGATCAGATAGCAACAGAATCTTATGTATGGAACAATCACCTATTAATTTCTTGAATTCTTAGATGCTAATCACTGGTCTCAACTTTTTTGCAATAAGATTGTATATAATGTGTTATATTAATTAGAACTTCAGCAGCCAGTGTTGGGTAAAAAGTATGAAAATTGAAGCATTGGGTTGGGAAAGACTTCTTTAGAGAACTCAAGTAACTATCCAGTTTTTCCAATATTCTGTAATATGTATGTCTAAAGCTGAAGATGGTGAGTAATACTATGGCCTTTCAACCATTCTTACTAGAGTTATCTTACTGGAGAAGCCTGGCTCAGAGATTCACATTCTCAGAGATTCTCAGAGAATCCTATCATTGTCATTAAAGTAGCTGGAGTTTTGTTTTTCAAAGACTTCACAATTGTCATGCAAATATCAAGAACAAAAGACAGAGAACATTGAAATAGGAGTTGCTTGTTGCATGGAATAGTGGAGAATCACACACACACACCCCCTTCCCTTTTATATTCCCAGAATTCTCACCTGCTCTGTTGCTTCCTGGAAAGCTGCAATAGAGTAGGATGTGACTACTATTCTAATTAGCAGAGAAAAGATTGGGGGGGGGAGAAACACTACGTCGTTCTGCTGCAGTTTTTAAAGAGTGATTGAATGCTCAAATCTACAAAAACCCTTACAGATCTGTTAATCAAAATCTGCTTCTTTAAAGCTAACTTCATTTCCCTAGGTTTTAACTGTCTATAGTGTACTATTCTGTGACCTATGTGATTTAAAAGTGGTAGTTTAAAAAATGTTGAATGGTAAAATCCAAGTTACATTGAATTATACCAAAAAGCTAAGACACCCCATCATGAAAGCCAATGCATCCTCTTCTCATGCAAGGTTGCTTGGCCTATCTGGTTCCAGTATTGCATTGGATCTTACTTGCAACATAGAACTGCAAATTTTCAGCTTGCTCCTCACAAATTCACATAGAAGTAATCTAGTACTATTCTGTTCAATGGCACCTGTTCCCCACTCCACCCCCAATAACTATACAGAGGATTTTAGAAGAAAAGTAAGCACTGATCCATAATTCCAAGGAGTTTTCTAACCAAGCCACCTCTCTTCTCCCTTTTCAAATAAAGAAAGGGCTAGATGATAACAGTGATCTCGGAAGGCCTGGTTTCCCATCCTAGCTTAATGCCTTTATCTTCTGTTAAGATTTGCCCTGGAGCCAAATCTGTGCATGGAAAGTAATTTGTACGATTGGATCCTAGAGTGGTGTGGTTAATATTAAGCCATATAAATAATAGTTCTCCTCACACCATATGCTGAGTTTATTGTAAAATATGGGACTTTAACAAAATAAATGGAAGATAAAACAGTGGGCTATAGTGATAACCAGGACACATAGTTGCCTTTTTATTAGAGCTTTATGTATTCTTTATGGAGACTACTAATGAGCCAGTTTGGTCTAGTGGTTAAGGCACCAGGCTAGAAACAAGGAGACGGTGAGTTCTAGTCCTGCCTTAGTCACGAAAGCCAGCTGAGTCACTTTGGGCCAGTCACTCTCTTTCAGCTCAGCTCACTTCACAGGGTTGTTGTTGTGGGGAAAACAGGAGGAGGAAGGAGTATTAGGTATGTTCTCTGCTTTGAGTTATTTATAAAAATAATAAAGGTGGGATAAAAAAATTCTAAAGTCTAAAAATCTAATGAGGCCCTCATTGAATTCCTTGTTGTTTCAGTTGTGGGAAATTTGTCGTATTGAATGAATATATAGTTCTAAAAACAAATTTCATGTATCTTGAATAGGTTTTGCATATATTTAAATTTAAAACTGAATATTTACATGAGACTGTTTTTGTAAGACAGTAGCCTACAAACTCTCCAGGGCTAGAAAAAAAATCTGTATTTATTTCTTTTTCATAGCACAGGAAGATCAA